TCGACAAGTGGGTTTGCTTCTATTTCACCAGCTCCCAATTTACAATATACAATCTGTAAGCGAATCTCCAACGACAACAAATGCCTTGAGGTGTGTCTATGTCTGGGTCTCTGTGTTTTTATGGGGTTGGGAAAAATAACCGAAATTGTTAGTTGCATATGGCCAACGACAATCGATGCAATGCAAAAAATAACATAGCCAGACTTCAAAAAATGTTCGAGAAATATTTATGGTGCACACAAAAATTTCTGCATCAATTTTTCGACTGTTGAGTTAGAAGGGAGCCACTGCAGCAAAAATACCTAAACAAAAATTTAATCGAAACTCTGTGAGTGAAAGGCGGGTGAAAGGGAAGTGGCAATTGCATTCGTCGAGAGAGTTTATTAGTTTATAAAGTTCGGTTTTTTGTTTGGGTGCACCATTTCTGGGCATGTGAGCAAATTGCTTTGGTCAAACATATATTAAAAAAGCACCCACACAAACACCGGGAAAATATATAAAATTAATCAAACCAAAACTAGGAAAACTTCAAGCCTGGGCTTTCCCGACAAGCGACAAAAAAATACAAAAATAAAATGGTTGCTCCGCTCGCTCTCTAATTGGAAACTTTGCTCGGCATGAGGTTTTTCCCCCAATTATAACCAAAGCCGAGATCTACTTTTTGTCAAGGGGGATTTTCCCTAACAAACTCTTTACCACCTCTGTATTGCCGGCTTTTTCCAGAAAAGTTTAACACTGTTTTTTGCGTTTAGTTTATATTTTTTGATAACATTACTATAAACTTTTTGTTTCTATATTAATATCGTTTAAAATTTGTTTTGCTTAACACATTTTCAACTTTATTCAACTGGTATAAATAAGTTTTTTGTATTGTGGTTAACTGAAGCTTTTGGGAACTTCAATTGTATATTGTAAAATCATGAAAATTGAATTATTTTTGACTGAAGCTGACATAGTAAAAAGTTGATGAAAAGTTACTTGCAAATAAAATTGGAAAATTTATGTACGAGGAATAAAGTTACAGACCAATTTTGTACCTTTTAAGGGATTATAAACTACTGCCAAAATGTAATAAAAAAAATTTTCATTTTCAAAAAAATAAATATTTAATGTGCCCTAATGCAATTTAATTATTTGTAGGTTCTTTAGAGTAGACCGTAATTTAGAATTTTTCATCAAAACATCTCCCCTTAACGACTATTCGTAATCTCATCACCGAATAAAAGTAGTCCACTTAGTGTGACACATAATTTCACTATGATTAGCTCCGATCATTGTTAATCTTTTTTTGAGTATTTCTTTATTTCACAACCATTGTAAAATCTCCGCACGCAAAGCCTATAAAAGGAGCATTTACGAGTGCGTGATTTTTGTATTAATGCAGGCTTTTCGGGAAGTAGATGAGCAGAGCCCACCGACTATCATGTGAGGCGACCGCAAAATTGGCCAGACAAAAGACGAATCAGTCGAATGGAAAGATTTCCATGACAAATGTCATAAAATTCGTTGAGCGAATATATATAATTTTTTTTTCGCCTTGCTTCTTTTTTTATTATAATTTGTTATATTTTGTCATTTAGCATTACAGTTTTAAGAAGGGGCACATATCTCATTTGGATTTTTGGGTTGTGTCCGTTTGGGGGGGTTCCATTTTCCCAAATGCCGGCGCCTATAAACTCACACATGTGTGCGATAGTGTGTGTTTTAGCTGCTTGACAACAGCGGAAAAGAACGGAAATGCTGCTGCTGCCTAACCGAACCACCCCGAAAAAAACGAGGAAAATCGAAATGGGGAATGGAGAGGATGCCGGGGGATTCCCCAAACAATGAGTTTGGGCCAAGTCCATGCCAAAACGGACATGCCAACGGCAACAACAACAATGCCGAAGCACAATTTCGGTGGCCGATGCCAAGAAAAAAGGCTAACACATACACGGAGAGAAACAGACACTGTTTCAGTGAGCGGCAGCGAACGGAAGAGACTTGACAACATACGCAACATGGGCGAAAAATGAGTGGCGACGACGCTGGAGACGGCGTACATGGCGTATGAGTGACGAAGCTCCGGCTTCTAACTCCATCGGAGAAGGGAGGTCGAGGGTAAGGACCACGACCAGGACGAGGACGAGGACGAGTGCGAGGACGAGTACCCAACCAAAATTCGGAGAAAAAGAAGAAAAAAAAAACAGACAACTAAGGCACACGCCCCGCACAGATTTGATAGTTTTTATCGATTTAAGTGGATTTTGGCCTCACACAAAACGAGCTTGCACGAGGCGACAGAGATGGCTAGAGCCGTGGAGAGAGAGACGGCAAGCGAGGGCGCCTAGAGTGGTGGAAAAGAGGCGGCAGGGACGTCGCAGATAAATAGACAGACAGCCTTGGTTTTTGGCAAACGTCGCGGCCCCAAACAAATAAACATAAAACAAGCCGAAATGTGCGATGCGTTAACTCGTTTAAGTCGAACCAGGAATTACCCTCACTTAAATCAAGTAATCTAATAAAATAAAAGTGAAACAAAATAGAAAATTTGTATACAAATTGTAATAAGATTATTATTATATGTAATTTATTTTCTTTAATAAAAGAAAATAAAATACATATTATAAATGTTTAAGGATCAGGTTATAAGTTTTTTATAAAAGAAAACGGAAAGTATATGTATATCTTTTTATTAAATTCAACCTATGATCGAAACTTTGGAATTAAAAACAACAGATTGTCCCTTTGTTAAGCCTTCTCAAAGCTTAGGCTACCATCCATTTCAATAGACTCCTTTGATCCACAAGGGCATGCAAAAATCTTTGAAGTTTGGCGATGTGCGTCTTGGTAGCCGGCAGAGATAAGCGTTCTTCCATACACAAAGCCAACCAAAAAAAAATGGAGCTGCTTTGACATCCGAAATCAAAGCCCAAAGTTTTGCGTATAAAGCATAAAGCTTCGACCATGAATTGTTTAACTTTGCGCCCGGCTCCAGCATTTTTTCTTTATTATTTATTTTTTGTAGTAGTTGAAGCAGGAAGTCTGTGCGTGTGCCACGCCCACCCTGCTCTATCGCCCTCTTACCATTTTTTTTTTTATCAACACTTTTGCCGGGGGGTCCAAGCAAATGCGTAAAAATTATGCCACAGCTTGAACGACTCGACACGAGCAAAAGGAAAATCGCACAAAAAAAATATATATGAGAAAAAAAGGAAAAAATAAAAAGAGAAAAAAATGGGAAAACAAAATGCTGCGGATACGGATGTTGGGGAAACCAACGCCGGACAACCAATTTACTTTTATTTTATAGATGCCTGCTTGAGGTTTTTGCTGGGTTTTCTCAAATATATACATTCTGGGGATCAATATATATATTTTTTTTTTTTCTGTTGAAAGGCGTTAAATATTTCCCTCGAATGTGCATAATTTATGCCTACCAGCAGAGCCAAAAATAATAAAACGGAGATAAAAAATGTATTTATTTTGCGCATATTTACGCATGGGCCAACGGAAACTATTGCACAGCAACAACAACATATACGGATTTCGCACTGAAAAAGTGACCCGGCTAAATGCGCATAAATATTAAATGAGCTGGTAGAGAGTGTATCAATTGTTCTGGCCCCCCCATCTGGATATCCCTCGGACTGGATCTGGTTTGAAGATGATGATTTAGTTTTCGGCACTCCATTGCAATAAATTCCGTTTGCCAGGCCATTTCCAACTGGTTTTGTCAGGGCGACTCTAGTCTGTCTACTCTCCGTACTCTCGATATACTATATGTACGTATATATGCGAGCGTTTTTAGAGAAATGTACAAACGTACAAATATACGGAGGATCCCTCCTAACTGCTTGGCACTCAACATTATAAATTGCCGCATGCGGGGTCCGGGGGCACTGTAACTGGGCAAAGTCATTGCAGCCAAACAAAAACTTATTATTTATATACACATATTTGTATGTTTGCAGCGCTCGTTCACAAAGTACTAGTGGGATTGCAGAAGGGGCTCCACTCTAATAAATAATTATCGTATTGTTTAAGTCTCGAATGAAATGCCATAAATCATGACTTGGCCACTAGACGTCGCGAGATATTTGACTCTGAATTATTATCATCACAGTCACATCAGACTGATAAGCACTATGGCGACAGAGCGAGCAAGAGGCGAAGATATGGGGTGAGCAAGAGGATGCTGTTGGTAGTAACTTAGGGTGGCATAACCTCAAGTAACTCGGGTTCTGAGGGTGCTATGTCCATGAAATTTGGTATCCGAGCTCCTTTGATTTAGTTGCTCAAAATAAATAAAAATCATAAGTGTTAGCGTCATAAAACAACATATTGTTTTTCAACCATTTTACAGCTCTATAATAACCAAATTGCAATTTTGGGTAAAAATTAAAATTTTGTAGAGATCCTTAATGAATATTGCTGTAAGTCAAAGTATACATATTAAAACCATCTCGTATGAATATCTAATCTGTTTCGTCTTAAAAAAACCCAAACCACTCAACCGACCAAGTTTATAGTCCTACCCAGGGGCCTACAAAGTGAGAGGCACTTATTACAAATTCGCTCCCTAGCTTCAACGGGAAAATTGCGTTTTGGCCGCAAAACGATTGCCCTTTGGCTTAAGTCCTCTAGCTTTTACACACACTGAGTTTTAGTAGGAAGGACGCGTTATGAGCCCCCAAAGTACAGTAAACGCGTCAAAATGAAAAAAGCAGCCTCGAAAACACACAAAAATATTCAAATAAACTGGCTGAAAAGGGAAAATTGAAGCGAACTCGACTATGGCCAGTAGAGGTTTAAATGAAAATCTTTTAAGCAGAGTCCCGAAGCATCAGCCGCATCATCGTCATTATTATCAATGGTGGTGGTGGCGTAGGCCCAAATGAAATGCGGAAAAGCGCAGCCAACTACACCGCAACTATGCTGCAATGTTGCGGCTTTCAATCAGCGCAGGTGGACAACCATTTTCGCTAAAATGAGATGGGTGAAAATATTTCTAACGTAAATACAGTTCAAACTAAAATTTAATAGGCGGTCAGGCCCCTGATTTATATACAATGTGTTGCTCAGCGAAATAACAATAGTTTACTAAAAATTAATGTTGATTTAAAATTGATTAGGGAGATATTGATATAGACATTAATCCACTATATATTTCATAACATAGAAGTTACTGGCTATCTTCGTTTGAGTTTGTTTTTTAGGGTTTCCAATTCTGTTAAATCGATTAATTTGGATCGCATTCCGTAACATCTTTCAATAAATTTATGAGCTTTCGATTTAAAATTTCTCTGAGATGTCTTCCGTGGGTTTGAGTCTGCGGCTTGGTCATCAGAAAGAAATTTAATTCTTCTGATAATTCTTTCTGGAGACTTTGCCTTCCTAGGCTTATATAATATGTTTATATCTTCACCATTAGAAAGCGTTTTCGTTTTGCTATCTTCTGCATGGGATTTACTGTATTGCTGATCTCCACCTCCAGACAGAAAAAATGTACGTCTGATCTTTGGTTTTATATCTTCTTCTGGCTTTACTCTCTCTAAACTTGGAGGTTTCTGAACACAAAATCGCACCTTTTTATCTAAGCATTCTATACTTTTTCTTCTTGTTAAAGGCTGGTTGGTCTCATTTAACGTAATAAATCCACGCATTCCTCCAATGCTTTCTGCAGTCTTTATAAGAAGGATACTCTCTCCAGCAGTTTTCCTTTGATTTTTAGAGTGATCCCTGGCCATTTCTCTTCTGTAATCCTCGGGATCAGAATATTTTTGTTCTCTACTCCCTAAGTTATCTCTATTTACTGATCGTAGAAGCTCATCTACTGACTTGTTCTTGGGTTTTCTAGGTTTTATCTCTGATGCTATGTTTGTCTGTTCGATGGAATCACTTAAGTTATGATTTTCTTGCTTACGACTTATAGGCATTATTTTGTTCTGAGGCGATACACTATCTCCACGGTTTTCAGATGTTTGCTTAACTGAACTCAAGCAGCTATTATTTCTTTTAACCAAAATGGGAGAACGCTCTTTTTTCTTTATAGGTGATGTTAGGTTAATTGTACTCAAAGTGTAATTTCTTTCTTGATCGAATGTCCTTCTCAACTGATATCCGTCCATCATCTCCCGCCAGTTATCCAAAGGTCCTTTGAGTTTTCTAGCTTGATAAACTCTTTTTAATAAATGTGCCTCCCACTCCATTTTCTTGCTTACTTCGACCGGAACTTGTCTTCCCTTATTGGCTATGGAAAACTGAAGATTTTCGGTTTTTTCGGTAGGAAGTTCTATGATTCTTTTCTTCCAGTCATTAGATTGAAATCTTTTTTCTGGTTGAAATCTATTTTCTTCTGGGTAATTATCAAAAGGTGAGGTAGTGCTTTCCTTAAAGGGGTTAACATGTCTGCTCATGTCCTCATATTTACTTTTAAGATCGTGGTACTCCTCATCCAAGGGTTGACGCCTATAACTAGGGATTTGCAATGGTAGACCACCACTCTGAAGTCGCAGCATTCTCTGCGGTTCCCTGTGCAGCCAACTCCAGGGCATGCCATTGAAATAGGGTTCGGGCGTTATGAAACCGCCGGAGAATCTCTTCTTAGTGCAGGGTATTATCCTTTGCCTCGGCGGCCCACCATCTCCAAGTAATTGCCTTGAATGTCGGTTCTCAACGACCGCAGTATATAGATTTGAGATGCGAGTAATTTGTATGAGTTGGGCTGTTTGTGGCGAAATAGCTGCCATAGCAGAGCTTTCATTGCAATCAGAAGCTAACATTGGACTTTGCAGCTCCGCCTCGCAGGCACTTTGTAAGGCCTCGGGATCCTGCACATTGGCATAAGGACTTGGGCTCTGAGCCTGGGAAAGCTCACGATCGCTTGCCTGACAAGGACACCGATAGGGTGCATAGCCATATGGTATAGATTCATCAGAGGGATAAGTATTTAGATCGGAATTAACACTGCCAGGCTTTTCGTACCCCAATCGCCTGAGTTCTGCCCACACTTGACTTTTCGGCGATGGTACCTTTGCAGTGGGTCCACGTCCAGAGAAGGGAGTTATGGCATCTTTGCCACAATAGCCGGGATTGTGTATGTGTTTGATATTATCATCCTTATTTTTGCAATATGCACACTTCTTCTTTCCCCTGCATAACTTCTGTGTGGGTAGGTTCAGAAAGTACTGCATCATGGTTATGAGAATAATGAATGTCCTGCTGGGCATCGGCCATCTCAGGTTACCACATTCATCGAATATGCCGTAGTAAAGTTCACAGGTATCGGATTGGACAAATGGTATCTTGAGCGTATTCCAACCTGCCATCAAAGGGTAGAGAATCCTGGCGAAAAGCTGCAGGGTCAGTTGATGCAGAAACGAGCGGACAGAATTGGCTGATTTGTCCACCACCTTGGCCAGCAATTGAACCATTTCCCCGTTCCTCTGACCCCATCGCCTCTCGCTCGACATACAACAGCTGGCTGACTTGCGGCCCTCTAAATACGGCCTACAGCTTTGGACACGATGGAGACGAGGAAATTGTGGTAGACAGACCATCGGATTCGTGCGATCGCTGTGCGATCGACAGCAGCAGGAATTCATCTTGGCCTGACCGTTCCGGGGTTCCGAAAAAAAGGTGTTAAAATACTCGACAATTTTGTAGTTGCCCGGCTAAGGCAACAATTTGGAATGACATTTGAAAAACAAAACTCCTAGGCTATTGGGATTATGATGAGAGGAAATCACAATTTATTAACAATTTATTTAAGTTATGTACTTGACAAAATATTATTTTTAAATTTTCTTTTTTTTAGGAGACACACGTTTCCCGGACTGACGTTTGGCACTGATGGTGCACTTATCTTTAAGTGCTTTAATTTTTTTCTTCAAGGAAGTGTGTACATGTCGCTTGGTCTTTAATGTTGAGAAATCGTTCTTGGAATTTAAGCGGATTTTTTTTGTATGTCTACGCTGCCCGGTCCAATTCTTTCTTGGATCATAGGGCTCATAAAAGAGCACAGGGACTTGTTCACCCAAATACCTTCTGGGAACTTTTGAAGCGGATGGAACCTTTGGATAATTTCCTCGGACTGTTCCAAGAGCGGGCGGTATAGGTTGCTTAGACTTTTGCTGCACAATTTCGTAGTATAGGTTTGAGATCGCTTTGGCGGTTCGAACCTGACGTCTTAAATCCTTTTCTGCTGTCCTTTTCCACTCAAGATCTACATTTTTTAGGGCATATCTTAAGTCGTCGAAAGTTATATTGGATCCCTTTCTTTGAACCAGCTGCCTAATTAAAATTCGAATACGCTTTGTCCTTAGATCTCCTACAGGACCCGTATAGCTCCCCCTAGTTCGATGTCGACCTAGTCCTTTCATTAGATATTCCGCATAAGCAATTGGCTTGCCATAAGCTAATGCCAGTTCATCGTTGAGAAAAACAGACTGTCGTCCAAATGTTTTTGGTTTCTTTTTCCTATTCAAGTCCTTCTCAGATTCCGGTTCGGACTGCGGTTCTAGTATCTGTGATTCATGGCGTGTGATGGAACGTTTTCTCTTCATCGGAACCCTAGAACTGTTTGAAGGACCCAAGCTCCAATCTATAGGGTTAAGACTTTCCTCATCGTTGGATTCTGAATCATAGCTCAAAACCTTTGGATGGCGGTTCGCTCGATGGCCGTCAGGACACGCTTTGTAAATTGGTGAATCCTTTTGGGCTTCAGGCGAATTGCCATTTAAGTAATCCAGCAGTAACGGAAGTATTCTCCGAAGACTATTTGATTGGCTGGGACTCCTTAAATTACCTCGGTGATCAAAGATGCTCATGTACCGATCACAGATGTATGGATAACAAAGGGGCACATTGCAGGCATTCCAACCGCAGCCCTTGGGATTTAATTGACGATTGTAGTTCTGCAGACTGAGTTCGAAAAGGAAGCCATCTATGTCCTCGGGGTGTGATCCAACCAGTTTGGCCAATTGCTGGATTTCCAATTGGTTTCTCTGTAGCCAAAGACATTGGCCATGGGAAAGACATCTAGATCTAGAAGGCTTTCGATCGCAGAACGAAACCATCTTAGATTTCCACGGAAACTGTGCTACAAGGGCACAATTCTTGTGATGCGAGCTCATCTTATGGCGAATACGTTAAATTTGGAAAAGGGGTCGAATTTAAGGAAAACTTCAAAAATGTTATGGAAGGCTTAGATCTCAAGGGCATTGTGTATGGAAAGATAATAGATAACATTATATTATCCAACTTATTTTAAAGTACAAATTGGCAAATGTATAACCAAGGATTTCAAGTGAAAAGCAATGTAAATTGTAAATTGTTAATAGCTGTGAATACCTATTTCTAGATTTATAAAATTAAATATAACCCTTCTCAATCAAACAAATTATTGGCTGTAGAGCATATCACGAACTTTTTTAGATCAGCACTCGTGGCATAGACCACTATTGAGCTCCCCTTGTCAAGTCGATTGGCAGGTGAAAATAACCTTCAGTCTGTCAATACTTCAATGCCATTCGTTTGGGCATTGCGCCGACTGACACCGAAATTAAAAAATGGTCTTCACTTTTTCTTATTTTGGACACGAAACGTGTTCGCAGCGTAAAAAGTAAATTTGATTATGTTAATTTCTGTTCCTTCTTTTCCCATATATTTTTTTACAGGTGGCGAACACACCCAAAACCGAAAAGGAAATTAGGCCCAGAACGTTGATGGACAAGACTGTGTGTGTGTGTGTGTGTGTGTGGGCCAAACAGATAAAAGAGATGAAGACGAAGCAGCGGAATGAGTTGAAAGTCAATAACCGCAATAAAGCGACGGTGGGATTTTCGGGCCTAAACAAACACGCAACTTGGGCCGCTAAAAAAGTTCAGCGACCTCCGACACAGTTGGACAGTTTTTTTGGCCAAAACTGAGCGGAAATGATCAACAGTTAGGCGCTGCACTTTTGCTAGGAACTCTTACCAGCTTTTCGCCAAACAAACTCTTCAAATTCACACGTATAGTTGGTAAGCTCAAACAGACCGTAAAATTAATAATTACAAAATTGCATGTTCTTTGTTGCTATCATGGGCATAAACAATAAATTTGTATGTCAAAAATCTAAGCGCAGATAAAAGTTTACACGTAAACCTCAACAACAATAATAACGACATCAACAACAATCTACAATCAACGCTCAGCCATTGGGGAATGTTTGGGCAATTGAGTTAAATTTATTTGATGGGGAATTTGTTTGTCTAGTAAGCCTTTATGTGAAAAGCACTCTGATAAAAGGGGGTTCACTATTTGTATAATTTTTTCCAAATAAAATGGTGAATCTCCTTGGCAAACGAGTGAAAATTTGTTGACCCACTAAGCAAAATGAACCTGGTATGCCTGACAGTTAAATAATCCATAACATTTGTCGACATTTTAAATGTGTCAGTTTAAGCTCCATTGAATTGTAATTACAAAAATTCATTGAGTGTTATCTATGATCTTAGGCAAGTACTAAGCTGGCAATCAAACGGCAGATTTCTATGAAGAGAACAACGCTTTATGTTGTATACAAAACAACAAATTTGTAACCCTAAGTGCAGCAGAGATATAACGTTTTTGGATTTGTTCACTGTTTTTTTTAGGTTTTAAAGAATAAATATTTTTTATTTTCTTTTTTTCCTTTTACTCACAATGATGAAAAATCTGCAGCTAGTGTTTTGAACTTAATCCGTTTCAGCAAAATGCATTTAAAGTTGATTTAATATTTGTTTATCAGCTTAATAAATTTTTAAAAACCTTTTAGTATTTTGTTTGTAATTTTATAAATTTTATTTTATAACAATTTAGCTATGTGTAGTTTATAAAGTGTTTGGTTTTATTATTATTTGATATAGCGCAAAAGTGTTTAGCAAAAATCTTTGAACCTTTTAAAGGTTTTTAATTTTTGTATACGATTATTATTATTTAAATTGCACAAAATTGTTATTGTTTCATTAAATGCTTATTAAGTTTATTCGTATATATTATCTGTATATAATGGTTTGCTGGTAAAAATGTTAATTTGATTCGTTTTTATTGGTTTAGCTTGGTTTAGCTTGTTCAAATCTATTTATGAATACAGCTGCTGTAAAAATTCCCGTTGATTTTTAGCTGGATTTATTTGTATTGCACTTTTATTGTAAGTTTAATTGGAATGCTTCAGTGTTCGATTTTTGTATTGCACTTTAGCCCACAGACTGAAAAAAATGAATGATACATTATATACGTTGTATACGTTTTCTGTTCCGGACCCAAATTGAGGTTACACGGGAATCATTTGTTTATAATTCAATAGCAGCAAGTAAGTAATTTTTAATTGTTTATCATACCCCTTCGGGAGTGCTGGTTGTTTGTGGCTGTTTCTTTGTATCTACAAGTAGTTGTATCTGTTTCTCGCCATATTTATCTATCGATAGAAAGCTTTCGACTCTATAAATTCAAGAAACTTATGGCGCCGCCCCCGTCTCCATCGAAAAGTTTGCCATGAGTAAACGATATATTCTGGCGAAATTTTCCATCTTAATTAGCTGACAGTCGGATAGTGGAAATTTCTGAACCTGGAGCTGCCTGCCTTTGACCTTTTTTGCATTTTATTTTACTTGGCTTTCGGTTTATGTTTAATCAAAGTTTGCGGCCTTGAAGTTTCTGGCCGTAGAAAAGTTTCCTTTGCCAATTGCTCGGCAGCTTAGTGAAGGAATCTGCAAGATAATATAGTTAAAGTTGTGCAGGCCGAAATAAATATTGTCTGCAGTTAACTGAGATTAGGTTAGGTCAGTTTTAGGTCATGATTCTTAGGCTCAAACTTTGTTAAGCCAATTAAAGTTGAAGTTTATTCCAGGTTATTGACTGCATTCATCGATAATTGACTCTGATTGAGAAGCTAAGCAGGTAAAGAAAGTTTGGAAGAGAAAAACTTTGTACTAAAAAAGTAAATAGGGTTCAAAAAAAAAATTACAAACATCAAGAAAATAAAAAGGCAATTTAAAAATTTCTAAGAATTAGCTAAAATTCCAAGTAACAATTGAGTAATGCAGCTCGCTAGAAACTGCAATATGCTTATTACAAAACACCAGTTAGCTAATTTTAGTTCCAAGTACTCAATTTAGCATTCTTAAACAAGCTATAAGATTTTTGCATACAATTTTACAAATTGTTTAAATTGGCGAGCGAAAAAGTAACTGCAAATAAACAGACAAAGTGTAAACATTGCCAGACAATGTTGTTTAGATAATTATATTTTAGACATTTTTTATGATAACCCCAAAATGAGGGGCAGAATGTATGTTTAGTTTTTGGGGATCTTTATGTAACCTCAATGTGGGCCAAAAGAGACAAAAGTCGGCAAAAAATTCAATAAACCAAAGGCCATTTTTGCACATTTCTCAGGATGGTTTTTGTTTTTTTATAGGGTTCAGTTTTCTTATTCACACACACGCACACACACGAGCACGTTGTTCTGGGCTGTTTATGTTTTTTTCTGATTTTCTTTCTTTTCCTTCTTGATTCTCTCTCCCACACTCGTTCACACACACACACACACACAGTGCCACACAATGCACAGTGAAATTCCGCTACACCGGAAATTACAATTGAAAAAAGTGGTTGCTTTCTGTTTGTTGTTTATTTATTTTTTCATTCTTTATTTTACGAGAGTTAACAAAAACGTCACACGAAATTGTTGTTATTATTTATGATTATGGTGATTGTTATGTTTTTTTGATTATTTCTTGGTATGTTTTTTTGCAAAAAGAACAGGATGTTCAGGCCAAATAACAACGAAATGGTGTTGTATTTCTTTGGCTTATATTTTTAAATTGTAGCGAAATGGTGTTGTATTTCTTTGGCTTATATTTTTAAATTGTATCGTTTTTTCCATTTTTTTATCCATTTCCATTTTTTTATTGTTTTCGTATTATTTAAAAATTGTTTATTACTTCCGTTTTTGGTAATTTTTTGTTTATAAAATGTTTAATTTATCTTTTTAAGCTGTTGTGTTTTTCTGTTTCTCCTAAATATATTTCTTTGGTTGCGGCCTAATCTGCGATTTTGCGCTGCACTTTTTCTACACTCACTTTTAATTGTTTAAACTTGTAGGACGACAATTGTTAATTGTAGAAAGAGGATAAAAACACACGACGCGCTGCCCTTCCTCGATCCCCTCTTCGCCGCTTTTCCTCTTCAGTTTTCCGCTTTTCAGCTGCGCTGCCAAACCGTACAGTTTGAGAGTTAATATCGGACTGCCAGCAGCCGCCGATACGAATCGGCGCACGACTCGCGCGAAGCCCGAAGTCCGTTCTCATTGGAACCCGAAAAGTATCTCAAAACTGGAAGGCGGTACTGGAAGATACTTTTCGCTCAGGGGCCCCGCATATGTCATTTGTTGTTGGGCGAGTAAAAACAACAACAACAACAACAACAACAAAAAAAACAGAAAAAACATAAGACCCGCAGCACAGCTGAGCGGAATATTTACTATACACTGGCGGGTAAGAGCGATTTATCTGAGAGATACAAAAGCGAACGAACGACCGTCACCGCAGCGTAGTAGCCCACACAGATACAATTTGTACGCACACACTCTCGCCCAAAAACCGGCATTCCTCTGAATGCATTTTACTTAAACAGAAAGAGAGCCAGCCATAGCCAAAGAGCGCCGCTCTTAAGAAGTATCTTGAAAGCTATTTGAGTTGGCAATTTTGTGTGATTTCCCGGTTTTGCATATTTTTAGTTTACCTAGTTTCAGCCATTTTCAAATTGATTTTCTGAACTAGTTTTCTCTGTGCAATTATGTGGCCCAAACTTTGAAAAGTTTTTCAAAAGTTGCTCTAAATATATACATTTTTTTAATGAAAATCACGATTCATAGAATTTCACAACGGAATTTGCGTTTCTGGTGAATAATTAATGAAATCGGAATTAAACCGAAAAATAGAAAGCAAATATTCTATTTTTAAGGGAAACGTCATTTATGTAAGTGCAAAAGAAAGAAGTGTAGTAACCAATATTTTTAAAGGCACACAAACATTTTTACATTAATCTATTGAAAACTATAAATTATAGATGGATTTATAAAAAATCTAAACAAATTAAAATTAAAAATAAAAGCTAAATAATTATATTTATGGGAATCTCAAAAGCTAAACTAAATCAAAATCAAACTTTGGATGGGCAACGAACTGATCATTTAAATCAGAGCTCCCATTCCGAAAATCTCAGACGCAGCATAATTGTTTATTGATAACCCCCAAGGAGACCCAAGACAAAAGCCCATAAACGAGATTTTCGGTTCTTGAGTGATAACATTTTGAACTTTGACAAAGCGAATGCCAAAAACGAAAAGTAATTGGAGACTTCGAGCACAAGCATTTGTGTTAAGGCAATAACTCAGAGCGCCAAGTCAGAGTCGTATCAGTTTTCAACACACAAAAAATAAATTGAAAACTTTTGAGAAATCCCCCAAAGTAATAGCTGAAAATAATAATAATGTGTGGCCTTTGAAATGCGAAACGTTTTATGGCTGTATATATTTTTTCGTTCGTTTTTTTCTGTACTTATCGTTTCTTTTATTTTTGAAGCGAGTAAAACACAAAAGCCATAAGCTTAAATGCAAACTAAGTAAGAATTGTGTTAGGTCGCATCATCATGAACGCGATGATGATGATGACGATGCTACACTACACTCTAATAAAATTTACGACAATGCGAATGACTACGGCGACGACTCAGTCTCAGTCTGAGAACAAGATAGAGATGCGGGGATGCATGGAGGCGGGGCGACTTGTAAGCCCTGCAGTCAACTAACCAAAACTAGCAAAGACCAAAGGCCCGAAAAGTATCTATAGAGCCCCCCGAAGCCCACCTCTCCTTATACATATATATGTACGTATCTCTGCTCTTTTGTCTGGCTCTGGTGTGGGAAAGAATGCAGTGAAGGGAATTTCCAAGTCAAGACTTGGCAAGCCATGGCCGTAATGTGTAATGTATCTCTTGGATACATTTTTAAATTGTATGCCATACGCTGCTGGGGCTGTTTTGGAACGTTGACAATGCAACTGTATCTGTGGCTGTGTATCTGTATCTGTATCTGTGCCCCAGCCAAAAGGCCAACAGCATTTGCATTGGCCATTGCCAATTAATCAAAAAAAAAAAAAAGGGAAAAAAAACAGTAAAACGCTTAAAAACCCAAAAAAGAGGCCTGCAATTGATTTCAATATTTCAGCAGCATTGTATCTTTCACACAAAAAGCGTTGTATATCGTTGCGTAAATCAATATATACGTATAGACATATAGTATTGCCGATTTTTTGTATTACTCCGCCCCCTTCCAATTGCCTCTCGAGTACCACGCCAAAAATGCCCCAAATGCATCAGAGATGCACAGGGGGGTTCAAGATAATAGCAATGCAAACAAAGCTTTACATTTCATGGCATTCAAATTGTATTTAATTTAATTATTTATTTTTTTGATTGTATTTTTAGATGTATTTTTATTTTAATTTATATTTTTAGTTTAAAATGAAAAAAAATTGGCTTTTTACATTTTGAATTTTATAGATTCTGTTGATGATTTCATCATTTATAATGATATATAATTATATTTTTATAAAAAAAACTATACATTTGTTAATATAAATCTCAATGCTCCATTACTTCAAACA